ATACATCTTAAAATCCTGTTTATATTTGAAGTGTCTACCTCTTGCCGTTATTAATATAGAGCAAAAACCAGCAAAAAATCACGTTTGTTGTATGGGAACTCCATTTAAATATTTATTTTATTCTGTTTTAAGTTTGCTGTTATAGTGGCAACAGAAGTACATCTTCTGTGAAATTTTTAACTGTCCAGCTAACACGGTTCATGAGATACAGCCTGGTGCCAGAAATACAGACAGATAGAAAGCCGGACAGACCCACAGTGGAATCTTAGTAATAGGGTCCCGTTTTTACCCTTTGGGTACGAAACCCTAAAAAGCAAACGCCTTTGACTATGACCAATTAAAGAACTAGAGGACAAAATCAAGATTTCTACCATCTAATGACGTCATGTTTTCGCAAGCATTTGTTTTTCGTTACTGTTGGTAGTTTCGATAGCGTTACGAACTCGGTATACGTGACGTCTACGGCTAATTGGTAAAAGTATACCAGCTTTGTCCAATAGGAAAGGCAAATAGAGGAGCCACCCGCGCTGCGGAACTGAATCACGATCGCCAGTGCAGGGCTGTCAAAATCTGCCCCATATAACTTCATCTCCTTTTAGGATGCCTTTAAATTAGAAATTTAAATATGTTATTAATGTTGATCAAAGCTTCCTAAATCTAGGGGAAATGTGACTCAAGACAACCAAAATTTTTATGGTGAAAATGAAGTTAAGCACCGAGTAGATATATGGTTCGTTGAAATATTTTAAATTTTCGTAAGTTACGTAGCGAATTGTAGTAGATATGTGTTCGTAATATTAATTAAGGAAGCACTAACCAGTCTGTTTTCCCGATGCTTCTGAATGTGCAGATATCCCGGGATTTGTATAACACGATGAACAGTGCGATGCTGTAATACAATTCAATTATTTACAGAGATATGGTGGTCGGGTTTAGGACGATCAACGACGAATAAGTCATTATAGTCTCCATTTTCAGATGTACAAGTAGGCTTAATTTAAAAAGAACATTTGCTTACATGGCGTGTACTTCTCTGAATTTCCGAGCGACAAATTTTCACGCACTGTGTGTGTTGAGAACGAGGCAAGTCCCCAGCGGATATTTTTTTTCACGAGCCACAGCCTATTGAGGGGTGAAGGGATTTTTGCCCTCCACTGACAAAATTCCTCGTCTGCGCAGGGCACTATTGTTTTTTTGCCTTATTTTTCCCTGTTTCCTATTATTTCACATTTGGTAAAGATACTAGCTATTTCTCATTGCGTTTATGGAATACTGGAGGCGAATTGCCTAACTTTAGTTGGTTTAGATAAAGTTAGGCAATTCGCCGCCAGTATTCCATAAAACGCATACCTACTGGCAAAGATCTTGCCTAAAACCATAGACAACATGCATAGAAAATGTTTATGTACTATATAAAATTGCTAGGTACACGGCAAACTTCTTGAGCAACAATCATAGTCAAGGAAGCCTGCGCAGTAACAATTTTACATACAAAACCATCTGCTGCGCAAGTTTATTTTTGTCTGTCGGTTTATTCAAGAACTTTGCCACGATATTTACCAAGCAGGCTTTGTTGTCTATGCTTTTATGATCAACATGTTTGGATCGATCGATGTTATCTATTATTTAGAGCCGAGGTCCGAGTCTCAGAGACGCGCTCCTGTTGAGCCGACCCCCTCAGGTTCGAGTGGTGTAGAGGCTTCAGACGGAGAGTAGACTACCCTCGTGGGAAGATGTCATCCGCCTGGAATACCTCTAGAAGCACTCGCTAATTCTCGGCTTGAGGTTCCTTTAGGATCTCGCCGTCCCCAAATCCGGTGACGCTGTAAAGGTCACCGACCAAAAGCATACACACTAAAAAGAAAACTATTATTTTATTTGTTCTAATATCAGGTTATGTAATGGCAGCCCTAATCACAGCGAACAGTAGGGCTTCCTGACATGCCAAGTGAGTGCCTTGAATCGCCATTGTAAAAACCGTGCAGCTTCGTTAGCACCACCTGTTAACGGCCCGTTTCACTTTTAGCTTTTAATTAGGGCGGTATCGAGGTGAGAGTTTCCTTTGTGACATTACAAACAATAGTAGATATCGAAATTTCTCAAACGGCACTAAAAATATTATTTGTTGAAGTTTTATGGTCTATTTTGTTGTAGGTAAGGAGTTAGGAATATCTGTCGGATAGCCAGCGGAAAGTTTATTAAATATTTGCAATCTCACAGAAGACCGAAGAAACCTAGAAAAAGTGCAGCAAAACCAGAATAACTTATAGGAACTAAACGTTCCAGAAATGGAAGCAAATTTATTTGACACACGGTCATTGTACCACGACCTAGAAGATGTGGCTACAGCAGTAGAAAGATGGTAGCATATTGTTTCACTTAAATCAGTACCTGATAGGGCATGGGTACCACGTGCATATCTTCCTAGATTTAAAGTAACCCCCACTGACCTATGCCCTTGCGACGATGGATCAGCACAGACTATCGACCATCTGCTACTGCGATAGATTCAACCTGAAAAGCGTAGAATGTGTCTTTATATGCAAAGTGCATAAATCCCCTCCATTCAATCTAAAGGAGGTGACCAAAAAAGAGACAACCAAATTATCTTTTATCAAATTCATCACTTCCATACTTAGTAACTTTAAAACTTCAACAGAGAATAAATAAGATTAAATATCATTTAATATCTGATTGGGAATAAATATCACTAAACAGCTAAAAACAAACCTTTATTTATAAAGAATGGGTCAGTATCCAATTTCGGACCCGAATTCTATCAGATATTACAAATACTAGATAAAAAATACAGAAATAACTTTCAGTTTCGCTGCACATTTTCTAGGTTTCCTGTTCTCCCCAACTATAAACGTACTTTTTAAAGCACAGCCAGGCAGATGAAATCTTTTAAACCATATCAAATATAGCGTCGTGAATACGTAGCATCTATGAATATTAAATGTATTGATTTATAACCGTTAAATCTGACTTTAAATCTTTGATGCTCAGGCAGTCTGAAAGAAATAGGACGTATTGAAACAAAATATTGAATACATTCCGTCAATCAAACTTCGTACATATGTGTTTTGTTATAATAGCTTATCTTTTAAAGTGTAATTATAATAACTCTTTCCCAAATTCCATTTACACTATGTTTACGGAATTCCAACACATTTTTAAATTTTTTAAAAGAATATTAAAAAACGAGCTTTTTTCATGCTTAGCAGCTGAACCTTACTTAAACTCACCGATATTTATAAATGTAGGTAATAAAGCTCTTCCTCCCAAGACATCTCTTTTGCCGAGATAAGGAAAACTTAAGAGAATTAGTATGTATAACGAAAAGGTAATTCAGAAATCCTTGAGAAGTACTAAGCAATCTGAAAGTGTTTACAGATGATATTAACATTGGAGATGACTGTTCATTTGGCCAATACCAAAAAACATTGTTAAACTTAAACAAATGAAGATCGGTAAAAAAAGTAATATAAGTCAAACAAGTTTCGTTTATCATACGGTTTTCTTTAATTTTGTTTTTTTCCTAGTAAAACATTCTTTATTCATATTATGGTTGGAATGGAAATGAAATTGGACGATATAAAAAGTTTTTATTTAACCTTTGAGTCATCCAATTTTTTTTCCAGCTGCTGCGGATGCTGAGAAAATTTTCGGGAAAAAAATCTGCACAGCTTCCAATGAATCATAACGACTTTACAATGTCAATACAAATGTAACATATTGTAATGAAAACAGAAAAGCCTTAAGTAATTAATGAAAATTTTCAAATCAGATCCAAGCACTTTGTCTTTTATGAACTGTGATGCATTCATACACTTTGTAGTTCCATGTCGGGATCATTCCCGATCATTCCTATAAAATAATCAGGAAACATTGTCGTAATGAGCAATGCTGAAAGTTATTCGTTGGCCGAGTAATGCCTCTTAGTTTAGCGTACCAATAATAGATTTCCTGATAAGTTTTTTCTGGCCAAGTCTCTAATCATTTAGTAGAATAAAGTACACTATGATTTTAATAAAGAAGTTTTGTCTGAAATCGAAAACGAAATAAATTCCTGATCTGGGCGATTAAAGCAAACTTTTACCCCATAATCATAATCATTTATAATACCTCTTCGGAAAAATCTTAACGAACTTAATCGTAGAATGTTTTTCTAACCAAGATAAGTAATTTTTATTCAATTACATAGTTGTTAATAAATATTTCAGTGTTTGAAACACAAATAAATTACGTTAGCTACAGGGCAATCATCAAAGTTTTTTTTACCCAAAATAAAAGTATAAATTTTGTTGATTTGGTTTTGTTTTTTTAATTAACATAAATTTGTGTTTTGATTTGCAGTTATTGGAAACCTTAGAAATCATTATATTATAAGAAACTAACGTTATGTTCAATAATTTTACCTTATTGCTTTTAGAGTCATATATATTTTCATTTGGGCTAACATCACAGTTAACTAATTTCCCCTTATCTAGGTTTTTTGGCAACCATTAGTATTATTACATTAGTTAAAGTGCTAAATATAATAGTAAATATTAATAGTAAAGTTGTTCCCACAATTTGGGTCATCTTAGAATTTAGGTTTCCACAAAAATTTGTACTTTCCATTATTAACTACCAATTCACTTACCACCACCGAGTTTTTAGTAGGTACGCGTTTTGCCTTGTTTTTCTTATTATTACGCTAAGTTAACCGTTAACGAACCAAGTATTTAAATTTTGTCAACGTTTTCCTATACATACAGCCTTCCGCAGCAACCTCCGTCTTTGTTCTCTCTCTATCTATAGGAATTCAAATTACCTTATCGGCACGCGGGCAGCTACAGGTAAAACCAGTATTAAGCTATGAAATTGCGGACGCTATAATTCGTGTGTAACGCGATTGGATCCGACGACGATTTTCATTAGATGCTTTATATATGTACTACTGATGACGTGCTCTGTCGTCCCTTTCCAACGCGAACGGTTTTTATATATCTGTCGCAGATCTGGCCTCCCACTCGTGGTGGCTGGTTCGGCGCGAGGCTAGTACGCTACTATTCCACCAGTCTACAGCGAACGTTCGTTGGTGTTCTTTCAAAACGCGAAGCGGCAAAGAGAAAAAAAAATAAACAGACAAAACATTACAAGTAACAAAGATAAATGAAAACATCATCATAACACTAATAAAAATCTCGAGCACGTACAAATAGCAGTGACAAATTATTTATGAGGAAGTTAATCTAAAGTTTGAGGAACGCAATAGTTTTGGTGTTTTGTGTAAAGCGTTGTGTTTTTTTTCATAAGTTTTAAATGTGAGATCATCCAAAAAGTTTAATGAAGCAAATTATCATCTAGCCGATGAGGATTTGATGCCGCCAGCGAATAAGGTACGGGAACCTATTATATTACTAGTTACTAGACAGCCGGTCCGACAAGTTCAGAGATGGACGTAATTATAGATCTGTGTGCATTTACTTTGAAAAAGGATTGCGTTCCATTGGAATTGAACCTTTTTTAATTTTTCTCCGAAGCGCTCAATTTGGGTTTGTCGGGATCCGGTCACGCGAGGCTTAAATATTTGAAGTTGTGAAGAAAGATAAACAATAGTTGCAGGGCATCCTAATGCTGTGTGCCAGGTGTTTTATCAACAGGTGGAATTTATTAGATTTATTTAGTAAATTTTAGCGTTTTAAAAGTTTTCTAAAATAAGAAGAATTGTTGTAGCGTTACTTATCGTTGAAGCGATCTCCAAAGTTATGCTACAGGAATTCTGAAAAAGTTTAGTTTAGTGTTATAATAACTGATCATTACAGATCGGATAATAGGATGCATATTTAACGAAAGTTATTTTTTCGCTAACAAATTCTGGAAGCGGCTTCTAAGCTTCGAGATTCTGGGATCGCATAACTAACCGGATGTCTATTATACATTTTAATATCCCATTTGAGTGTGTGTATAAGAGAAATGGCGGTGTAGTTAATTAGAAAACGTAAATGAATCTAATTTTATTTATTCAATAAAAACTTCTTACACAATCTTTTTTTGTTATACACACAGGACAACTGTCATTTGTGTCGATCTGGGCATATTAGATTTGAGCTCTCTTAAATTTAAATTAACCGGAATCGCGGAATTTTGGATAAAAAGTGCTTTTCATAATAGCCATCATCTCAAGTATAAGTAAATATGCATCCGATTATCCGATCTCTACTGATCATGCAGGATTTTATTTTTCATTACATTTAAAATTCACCACCGTTTGTCATGGAAAATATTTTCGATTCAGAATGGCAATGTAGGTATTTATCCTGCAACCGTACCCAAAATTAACAAAAGAGTTTGCTAATGCCAACCCAACACAAACAAGTTTGTGATTCAATAACTCCTATTCAAGCCTCATCATTGTTGACTTTTTGCCCTCTAACAACTTTGCATTCTATTTATTTTGTAAATGACTCACATGCATGTGACTGATCAGCTGCTAAAAATAAAATTAAACCAAGAATTTTGTGTTTCTCAAACCAAACACGGCGTGAGTCGGCGGCACATTATCAAAAGCCTCGATTTCCTTGGGACATGTAGCAGGTAGTTGGTGGACCTTTTGCATGGTGTTTTTGTCCCCGTACCTTTGTTTGAAGTTGGCCAGCTGAATGGCCGTATGCCGTGTGAAGATTTGTTTGCATGGCGTCTACTATTATCTATTGTACACTACACTTGTTATAGTGTTAACTTCTCAGAAACGATTAAATCATAATGCAATTTTGGCGCCCTATTCTCTGTAATGACCCCGAAAAATCTAAATATTAGGAATCCACCCATTTCTCGATAAAAGGAATGGTTCTTGTTATAGTGTTAAATTACCAGAAATGATAAAATTATAATGCAATTTTGGTGCCCTATTCTCGGAAAAAAATCTAAAGAGCTGCTCGAAAAAATCTGAATATTAAGAACTCAATGCCCAATAAAGAAATGGGTTTTGTCAATAAATGGAATGATTTTACCAGTGTATTCGGTAAGACTTCTTTTATATTCACTGTTCAATACACCCGAGTAAATCTCTCCAAAAGAGGTTTTAAATGTGAGAACGTCGAAATAAATGAACCTAAGTGGAAGCTCTACTGTTCCTGAGGTATTAGAGTGGATACACCCCCTCCCACCCCGCGGGGTGATTGGCCGAGCAGCGCACTACGCTACGGCTACGATACGGGCTTCAACAAAAAGCCTTCCTTCCTCCTCAACTTTTGTTGCGTCTGTTTTAATATTTCATCCCGTCTGGTCGTAATTATTGAGCAGCATGCACGTGGAATTAATTAAAAAAATACCACGCCTTTCTCTTAAAAAAACATTTGATTGCCCTATTCCGAAGATTAAGTTTGTCGGAATGCTAGCTTTGTTTCGATCATCATGATTATGTCTAATTATACTTTTTATGAGAAAATAATCCATAGCCAGTTTTATTAAGAGATTGTATAATTTACTTTTATTGGAACCTAAGACTGTAATTTAAAAGTAGGGAAGATTAATACGTCCGTTCAAACAAAACTTTTTCCTTAACCGAGTGACATTTTTATGATTTCCAATAATACAGAATTTTGAAAGCGAAAAGAATCGCGCGTAATCTATTGGTTCTGGCATTTAAATCAGCCATCGAAACGAGGTCTGGCTATACCGGATATTAAAGTTGAATCAGCAGTGACATAGCTGGATTGGGATTCTGTACTATTATGGAGTCAAATTACTTTTATTATATTGTCATGTATGTATTTGACTGATAATTAATTGTAATAACAAAAAATCTACTTGCCCGTACGTGAAAAAGACTGTAATCGAAGTTCGAATCGAACTAGTAATTATCCGGCTATCGAAGAGTGCTTGTTTATGCCTGATACGGAAAGTTTTTATTAGCACAATCATTTTAAAATTCTCTTAACGCTATGGAGGATTCCGAACCCAAGATGAATTGCTTGCGAAATTTAACAACAACGGCTGTTTCATTCGCTCATGTTTCAGCGAAAGATAGATATTTATTTGAAGAGAGAAATACACAAAATAAGACTATAGAACTATTCGACATTTAACCGATGGCATATTGCAGAATGTTGCGCAGCGAAAGGAGCTGCGGTATGCGGCGGACGTCCCTGCAATCTGCCGAGTGCCGAGAGTTCTAATCTAGAAATATTTCCATCTCGAGTGGTTCCGCCACGGGCAATTCGAAGTAATACCAACTTGATAGCGGAGTTGCATTTGCGCAGTAACAAACTTGACTCAGTCATAGAGAAATATTTTGAGATTACCTCATTTGTTTTGTGCTCGGTAATTATACAAAATTTTAATAGAAATATTCAATTTGGGCCACTTGTCAGGCTAGCATAGCATTTGTTATAGCGAAAGGCGCTGGTTTGTATCCAGCCTGATTTTTTGTAGTTATGTTCTTTACATTATATATTTAGCTATTTAATGCTTACAAAAAATACGCATTAACTTGGTATACAGCTACATGTATTGGTATTTAAAGGTAATAAATTAATGTCAAGTCTACCTTTATCTGAGTTTATAATTTAGCTATTTTTGTCTATTCATTGAAGGACAATAAAATTGACGATTTAGATAAGCTCGTAAGAAACTTAACGGTATTTATCAACATCATAATTTATCCTCACTTAAGAACCGCGGTTGATGACATTTAATAAAAAAAATATAAATGACTGGTATTGGCCTTAAGGATTGTATTGAAAACGTTATCTGACAAGTAAGACCTAGGTTAGAATGTATGAATAACAAATTACAGCTAAGAAAAAAAGAAATCCACAATACTTAAACCAACATTAGCATTATTCGGAGAATGCAGAATGCTATCTTGCGATCAATAAGTGGTGTAGCCTGGTTTGTAACCAACGCAAGGAGTTAATGATGAAATAAAACGATAATAGTGGAAATTTAATGTGCCACCACACAATACCAGGAGAGACTGGAAAGACACCCAAATAATCTGTCTTCTATGTTGCGAATAAGAAGTTATTTGAAAATGCTAAAAAGATAAGACATCGTTTAATCTCACCAAGTGGTACCTATTCAAATGAGTAGATGGCTCATTAGAGTCGCGCTCTTCCTTGCAACTTGAAATTGTAACTAATCTGCTTAAAGATGTTAAAAAAAAATAAAGAACTAATTGCAGATACTATGAAAAGAAAATCCTTAATAAAAGCATGATGAAGCTAAATAACTTATTTGAATTTTAAGGGTAAAAATAGGTAGTTAACTCATTTCTTACTTTCAAATGAATACCAAGAAAAGATATTACTTAATGAATTGGCGGAAGCTAATATCTGTAATACGAACTACTCATCCACGGATATAGAAATTTAAAATTCAAATGCAGCCGTGGATATTATTGAGGTGATGTAAGTGGCGAATGCAGGTGTATAGATAATAGTTGCAGGATGTTGAAGCCAGTGACCGGTCGATAGGTGCTGCAGCTTGCGGTGTTTGCGTCACTGGACCTCTAGCTATCTCGCTCTCAACAGTTACCTGTCAACAGGGTTTACGGTGGCTAGCCTAGGTTCAGAATTATGAGCATCCGAATTGAGAGAAGTGTCATTACTCGATATTGTGTTACGAGGATTTTGATTATTAGTACCCTCAATTAGGTTGCAAATCACTAATTTTGGTTGACAATGCTCAATTGTAACTATCGAAATGTAAATCCTTTACGGTAGTACGGTATCCTATGCGCATCGGACAAGAAGTTGACCGATTTCGTTATTATTTATTTTTGTTTTTGTTTTTAAGAAAATGATCTAAATAAATTTTTTTATCTACAAATGATACTGGTTTCGAATTAACTTTTGTATGTTTATAACTGTGTAATCAGGAAATATGAATTTCGAAATATTATTTTCAATACATGTTTTTTAGAGAAGAATGAATATTTAATTTGTTAATAATCATATAGATTATTAGTAAATAGAAAGTTGGGATTTGCAAAATAGGAATGATAAAATTATCAATTTAAATATCTCTCAATATTTCGATACTACATGAATAAACATTTACTTACCTACTTTTATAAATAAGAAATAAACGTTTGGGATTCGTGATCTTAACAAAAATATGTACTTATAAAATAACATCAACTTCTTTACATTCATGGTTAAAGTAAATATAAATAGAGCGGCAGTACCTACCAAAGTATTTGCTAATCGCAAGGTACTAAGATGTAAGTTCAACACAGTTACGTTAAATTTGTACCTACAGGCAAATATTTGAGTAGGGCTTGCGACATGTTCTTAGCCAGGTGGAGATAAACCCAACAGATTCAAAGCACCAAGATAAAGACCGAAAAAATGTGTCGAAAAACAAGAGGAAACAACGGTGCCTGGTATTTTTG